ATGATGATGTGCACAACAAATTTTCTATGAAAGAGGTTTATTAGATGGAGATGAATATAGAGAGAGAATGAGAGAGGGAAATGTGATAGAAGGAAGGGAGGGGTGCCCCAACAGAGAATGGAGAGAGAGCAGGAGAGAGAGCAAGAGGGGAATAGAGCAACAAAGTGGCAGGTTGATCCTTTTATAGAGCATATTATGACATCATAGTTTGCTAGGCAACCCAAAAGCAGGCTGCCTAAATACTGACTTTCCTCGCTTTTTCTATAATTAAAAAATGAGGAGCTTGGGCTGCTTTTCATGTAAGGCAAGCTAAAATATAAAATTTAGGTTTATTCGAAGAAGCTCTTGGTTGCCATGCAAAGCGGTAAGAGAAAGAGAGAAAATAATAATAGCAACAAAATGTCCAGACTACATGGTCAAGAAGAGGAGGGAGGGGAAGCCCCTGCTTTGGAAAGTTCAGGGTAGAGAGTTGCCAGCCACACAAGGCAGCAGGTAGGGACTGAGGAATGCTAGGAGAACCTGGAGCTACTTGTCTTGGACCTGAAGCACACTATTCAGATTTCTACACCTAGTGCCTGCTTTAAGAGCCTCTGATCTTACACACCTTTGTAAACAAACTTGGCCTCAATTTCCTTAGGTAACAGATCCAAAACAAAATGTTTTTAATTACTACCAGCAACTGGGTAAATGGAGGTTCCCTCAGCTAAATGGAGGTTCCCATGTTCAAGTCTCTTTGATCCAAACCTTCCACCTCTGTTTGCTCTCCCTAATGTTTTAAATGTACACCTAAAGAAATTTTCTCCATACCCTACTTAACATTGTCTTCTGCCTATACATATGTTTCAGTATCCTGCCAGACCCTGTTGTTTCCTATATCCATGACAGTGCCAAAGCAGCTACCACACATGCTCCAGTCTAACCTCATAGACTTACATCAAGCTGGACCTGCACTTTCCCTCCCAGCCATTGATGTTCTCATAGATCCTGACAGATTCAAAACAGCCTGTTCTTCCTGGACTTGGCCAGCATTTTAGCCTTTTGACCTCCCTGCCGCACACCCAGTGTCAGCAGGAAGTAGCCAGGAGAGAATCTATGCCCATTATTCAATTATTACTAACAAAAGTCTTGAATGGTGTGCTTCAGGTCCAGGACAAGTAGCTCCAGTTTCTCCAAGCATTCCTCAGTCCCTACCTGCTGCCTTGTGTGGCTGGCAACTCTCTAATGGCATTCCTCTACCCTGACCTTTCCAGGGTAGGGGCTTCCCCTCCTCTTCTTGACCATGTAATCTGGACATTTTGTTGCTATTATTATTTTCTCTCTTTCTCTTAACCTCTTGCATGACAACCAAGAGCTGCTTCCAATGAACCTAAATTTATATATTTTAGCTTGCCTTACATGAGAAGCAGCCCAAGCTCCTCATTTTTTAATTATAGAAAAAGGGAGGAATGTTAGTGAGATTGCAGACAGGTTAATAGACGTTCATAAGGTTGAGAGACCAAAGAAATAAAAATTAGTTTTTTTTTTTATTTATTGAATTAAAGTTAAAAGCACAAGCCTGAAGAAAAAAAAAAAAAAAAAAAGACCAGACAGGTGGAGCTCTGTCAAGCCACCTGCTCAAGGAACCTGCCTTACTGCATTCTTTCCTGCCCACTAGAGATACAGTTGCTAGGAAACCGGCCCAGATTGCCCCTCTTTCCTAGGACACACAAACAAGGAAAACCAGACCTTTATGGTTTGGAGGCCTTCCTATAGCCAATTAGTTTAAAATGCAACATTCCCTTTTGTGTTTCAACACTTGCCAGGCAGGAATTCCCCTGCTCTGGGCACACTGGGAGGGACTAGGACCTTTAAATCACCCACCTACCCTGATCATGGGGCTCTCTGCTGTCAACCCTAACACCGGTGAAGGTGTGAGCCCAACCCCTAGCTTGTGTTTTGCATAGGACTCAACTCCTGGTGATCTCTTGGGGGATCTCACAATCTAGGCATAACAAGGTCACATGCTAGAGCACTCAAAACTATGGCACTCTTGCTCTTTGTCATTACATCATGTCTCCTATTACTATATTGTATTGTTAGGTACCCAGACAAACATTAGCTGGCCTCCTCTCTCAAAATCACCTTTCCTTCTGCTTAAATGTTATTTATTTATTTATCTACTTATTTATTTATTTATTTATTTATTTATTATTTGTTTGTTTGTTTATTTATTTATCTCTGTAGACAAGGCTGGCCTTGAACTCACAGAGCACCTGCTTCTACCTCCAAAAGTGCTGGGATAAAAAACATGCACCACTGACTAGCTTTCCTGCTTAAAAATTTAAAATGCCATCTGAAAGGGTGGAGTTATATGGGCTTTGTTGTTTATTAAAGGAACCCTACTACCCTTGGTGAAAAAAATACAGTGAGTATTAACAACCCTTGCCCTGGGTGGATAACAGACATTTTAAGCAAACCTAAGTATTATATAGTAGCGTGCCCTTCCTTAATATTTAAATTCAGCAGGGCTTTAAAATCATCTGGCCAGGAGGTACCTGTCAGGAAAGCTCATTCACATGCTAAGGACACAGGAGGAAAGTGATCATGCTCTTAGTGAAATAATGTAGTTATGCACATCAGGAGTTCCTCTCTCAGTGAAGGTGTTACTGATCTCTGATGCTAAGCCTGCCTGCTGTTCTGAGTTCTAAGTCATCCCCACACACCCCTTTCTATCCTTTCTCTGGGTACTGGTTGAAATCCTGAGCATGCTTGCCCTAACATTGTGGACTTTCTTATTTCAAATCTAAAGACTCTCCTGATCCCTTGCATCTGCTTCTCAGCCTCCATTTCTGAACATGAGTCAGCCATGCCCTGACTCAGTAGGCATGGCTATATATTTCTGCATCTTATTCAGCTCCCTCTTCCCAGTAGCTGGGGGAATTTATAACTTGCCTCCCCATCAGCTCTCTCCCAAACGCTAATAAAACAGACCTCAAGCTTCTTCCTTAGTTTGTTTTAAAATTATTTTATCAATGAGACTAAGAGGTTACAATGGGGAATTCTTTAAGTCTCTGGTAGCAATATTAATTTAATGTATTCACTTTATGTTACAACTAATGATCCTGCAGTTTAACTTTTGAAAGAGACTGCTCTACTAGGTATTGTGTTACCCACTTTATATGCATAATTTTTATTTTATTTCTGAAACATTCTTGTGAGGTAAATATGCAAATATCGCCTTTTTCCAACACGGCATATACTCACTTATATAGACCTATAAGATATGATAAACATAATGAAATCTATACACCTAAAAAAGATAATCAAGAGAGCGGACATGGGGTAAGATTATCAATCCTCGTTTAGAAAGACAGATGGGATGCGCATTGAACATATGACAGGAGTCTACTGAGTGCATTTGAAAAACCCTAACTAGCAGTGTTTTCAAAGCAAAGACTCATGACCAAACCTTTGGCAGAGTACAGGGAATCATAAGAAAGAAGGGGAGTTAGTCTGATGAGGAAAGGATAGGAGCTCCACAAGGACCAAAGATATCTGGGCACAGGGTCTTTTCTGAGACTGACATGCAACCAAGGACCATGTATGAATGTAACCTAGAACCTCTGCTCAGATGTAGCCTGTGGTAGCTCAGTAACCAATTGGCTTCCCATAGTGAGGGGAACAAGGACTATTTCTAACAGGAACTCAATGACTGGCTCTTTGGCCTCCCCACTCCCCAAGGGAGGAGCAGTCCTGTTAGGCTACAGAGGCGAGCTTTGCAGCCAGTCCTGAAGATACCTGATAAAACAGGATCAGATGAATGGGGAGGAGGTCCCCCCTATCAGTGGACTTGGCAAGGGGCACGGTGGAGATGAGGGAGGGAGGGACTGGGAGGGAATGAGGGATTGGGACACGGCTGGGATACAGAGTTAATAAAATGTAACTGATAAGAAAAAATAAAATTAAAAAAAAAACCATGGGAAATTGTTTCCTGTTTTGAAATGCTTAGCAGTTTCTTATAATTCTTAGTTTACATGTGGGTGAAAGTAATGATACCATATCTGAATGCAATGTTTGTGAAATCTGAATCTAGTGCAGGAAATTATGTGCTTTATAGGATTTTGGATGTGAGGACTGAATGATAAGATTAATTTGGCAAGTGCTAACCCCAGCCTTTCCAATCAGAGTTAACTACTTTGTTGTTGTTGAAAGTTTCACTTTGGAACTCACCATGTAGACCAGGCTTGCCTTGAACTCACAGAGATCTAAGAGTTAATTAATTTTCTTCTGGACTACTGTCCACTTACCCACTTTGTCACTCACTTTGTTATTCATTTTGATTAGACAAATTTTTGTGAAGTCGAGGCTTTTTAAATATGCACCTCCCATGTCTGTGTGAGACCAAAGAATTAAAAAATGTTTTTTTGGGGGGTTATTGGATTAAAGTTAAAGCACAAGCCTAAACAAAGGCCAAACTGAGACATGTCTAGCCACCTGTGGGGAGACACCAGCCTTACTGCATTCTTTTCCTGCCCACTAGAGATACAGTTGCTAAGAAACTGGCCCATATCACCCCTCTCCAGTAGGACAGCCGAACAAGGGAAACCAGACCACTAATGGTTTGGAGGCCTCCCCACACCAAATCACTTCAAAATGTAACATCCCCTTTTGTGTTTCAACGAATAGATGTTTGCCAGTTGGAATTCCCCTGCTTTGGGCCTGCTGGCAAGGACTGGGATCTATAAATTACCCACCTACTCTGAGCACAGGGCTCTACTCTCAACTGCTGCATTTGTAAGGGTATAAGCCCAAGGATGGGGGCACAGTCTTGCCAAGCCACGAAGGAGGACATTACAGCCAGTTAGGATGAGACCAGATAAGCTAGGGTCAGATGGAAGGGGAGGAGGACCTTCTCTATGCTTTGGGGTCTCAAGAATTGGGCACAACATCTGGCCTAGTGCATAGTGTGTAGTAGCCACTTGATTATTGTTTGTTGAACTGGAGCATGCTTTGTCTTCTAGGAGAGCTTCCTTATGAATTGTTGGAAGGAGACATCATCTGTGTCTTCTCACAGTAAGTCCTCTTTCATTTCCCACCTCCTGGCTGCATAAAGCAGTTTGATTCCATATTATAGTTTTGTAACAGCAAAGCATTTCAAACTGGGTATGGGGTGTACACCTCTAATTCCAGTAGACAACAGGCTGAAGGAGGAGGATCATTTGAAGCTAGCCTATGCTTCATAATGTATTCCAGGTCAGCCTGCACTGCAGAGTGAGCCACTGTCACAAAAAAGCTACCAAAGCCTTTTTAATTCTAGGCTGAATGATATCCCTGCATGGGGAAGGCCTGATTAGTCCCAGGATAGATGAGGTTCCAGAGCATTACCACATGGGGGATCCCAGAGCTTGCATCATTTGAGAGGCTGAGGGATTTTAGTCCATTGCTGCCAAGTATTCACTGAGCCTTTGTTCAGCATGGGCTTGCACTGGAACAGACTGGAATTCCCAGGAAGGGGCAGTGTTGCCCCTTCTCTTGGCTTTCTGAAAACTAGGGGTCATCCATGATCCTGGGCCTGTTGTGTGGCACTATAGGATTAGAGCAAGCACTGGAAAATGGGGCCAAACATACACAGAATTAGCTTGGTATGCTTTATCAGCATCTCTGAATTGATCTCTGAAATGGTTTTACTAATTTCAATTTTCACCAGAATGCCTATTTATGCAATTTGTTTTCAAGTTTCTCTGTATAGTCCTGGCTCTCCAAACTCTCAGAGATCTCCCTGCCTCTGCCTCCCAAATGCTGGGAATAAAAGCATTTGCCATCATCACCCAGCTCAAATCTTGATCAAAGTTATCTTACTCTGCAGTAGAGAGTTAAATTTGTTTTTGTTGGTATTATATTAATTTTTTTATTAACATGCTGGGAGATTTTTTTACATCTTTCTGATACTAAGTCATCTTATCTAAGAAAAAGCTTGTCTATTTTTTTTAATTTATATTTATGTCTTTTAGAGATTTAACAGGGTTTTTCATATAGGCTGTAAATAGTGCTTGGTTATTAGGCATATTTCTAAGTATTTCATCTTTTTTGTTGGTCTTATAAAGGTAATTTCCCTTCCATTATATCTTCTGAATATTGTTTGTATATAAAGAGTGACTGACTTTTAACTCTATTCCTTAACTTTTACTGAATTGTTACACTGTGTATTTTTGTCATTGTTTATCATTGATGCTGTTTAATTTTCTATATACACTATTGTATTTAATCTGCAAATAGAGATACTTTTTCTTAGCCATTTCTTGTATCTGTTTTATGTAATTGCATTGGCTATACCTCACTATATTGTCAAATATTCACACTCACTATTTTGCATTGAGTAAGACATTAGATTTTGGATTGGTGTGTATACATGTAATCACGTAACTTATACATCAATTCCTGGTATATTTTATGACTACTTCAATTTATAAATATTTATTTGGAAATGGGTTTATAAGAAGTAATGTAGACTATTTTGTATTCAATTAATTTCTGCTTTGATCTTTATTAAAGCCTGCCTTTATTTGGTTTGTTTTATTCTATATTCCTTCTTTATAAAGACAGAAATTTTGTAAGGTTATAGATTTTCTTGAGTATAGCTGGTTTAGCTACATCCTACAAATTTTTATGTATTTAAAAATTTTTGTTAGATTCTGAGTGGTATATCCTTGACATTTAAAATTTTATTTTATTATTCTTTCATTGAACTATTAGCTAAGAGACTAGGTTTTAAGTTCTAGATAGTAGCAAGTTTTTTAAAAATATTTTTAAAATAATGTACGTGTATGGGCATTTTACTTGCATGTATGTCTATACCATGTCAGTTTGTGGGCACACAACAGAAGAGGGCACTAGATTTCCTAGAATTGGAGTTACTGATGGTTGTGAACCTCGATTTGTGTGCTGGAAATTGAACCTGGGTCCTCAGGAAGACCAGCCAATAGTCTTAACCATTGAATCATTTCTCTAGTTCCAGTAGCAAGCTTTTGTTTAAAATATTATTTCTAGTTTTATCACACTGACTGTTGAGTAGATACTGTAGATTTGAGAGTTCATTTTAAACTAATTTAACTTATTATTTTCAATGTACTATGTCATCTTTTTCAATGTCTCCTGTACAGACTCTATTACTTGAATTTTATTTGATCATTTGGTATGAAAGTTACTGCATTTTAAGTGAATAATAATTTTTATAAAATAAACAGACATAGAGATATTGTCAACATGAATCTTGTGAGAGACAAGAAGCCTGGGAAATCCAAAGGATTCTGTTTAGTGTGCCATGAAGATCAGAGGAGCACAGTTCCGGCTATTGACAATTTCAATCGAAGGTAAATGTGCTTACTGTGCAGGATTTGCCTGGACCTTTCCTGTTTATCTGTTAGGATTCTTCCCCCCCACTCCTGTGGTTTACAGTTGCAGGAAAAGTACTGGTCAGCTGGCTATATTGTGGGGGGTTGTAGAAGTGCTTAGGCACACTGGATAGGAATGATTCCGGAAACTATTTTCTGGTTCATGCCCCTGCCAGGACTAGTTTCTTTTTTTCTGTTGTTCCAGAAACATGGGTGCGGTTCCCCCTTATTTGGGGGATGCTTTTGTTATGCACATTTTCCATCTGTACTAGCACATTAGAGAATGGAGGGACTTAAAAAACACTGCTCTTTGATATTGTGCTGTGCTAGGGAACGGAGGGCTTCATCAGAACCATGAATATCTGATATATGATTCCAGTGACTTAATATATTGGCTCCTGGAAATTCTCTAGTTAAAAATCTGGTGACCAATTCTATAAAAATAAGCCATTCTGAAATTTTAAGAGTGTGGCATTCAGAAGAAGTCACCATCAAAAGAAAATTGCTTTTTCATAAAAAGGTATCAAAATGAGAAATAGAATGGACAACAGAAGCTTCTCAGGCTTAAAGGTACAAGTAAAACTGTACTCTTGTAGTAGAATAGTGAAATTAAACTTAAGGTTTCAGATATTACCTGTATAATAAGTGTATCTGCTTGAAAATAGACCATTTTATAAAGCAAATGATAAATTTTATCGTTGTTAACCTGGAAAACTATACCTTCTAGTCCAATATTCAGTAGAAACTGAAAGTTTCTATATGGTACGAGTAGAAAGGGATATGAGAGCTCAAGAAAAAGAAATAGGTCTGGTAATATAGTTCAGTGATAAGAGTGCTTCTCTGTCATATTTGAGACCCTGAGTTCAAGACCACCATCACAACAAAAGAATTTTGTTCCCTTATTCTTATTTTGCCTCCTGATTACTTTGTTAAAAAAGCAGCTGTAGCAGTATATTTCATATTTGTAGTCCTCGTGCTTTTCTAGGGCATACTGTTTTCTTGTGAAATACTGTGTATAACTTTGTATGTGCACATATTCATATGTGTACATGTATAAGTGGAGGCCAGAGAACAGCCTTAGGTGAGGCATCATTCCTCAGGATTTGTCTACCTTCTCCTTCCTCTTCCTCCATTCTTCCTCTTTCTCCACTTCTTCTTTTTTGTTTTTGTTTGTTTTTTTTTTTGGGGGGGGCAGGGTTTCTCTGCGTAGCCCTGGCTGTCTTGGAACTAGTTCTATAGGTCATGCTGGCCTCAAACTCACAAGAGATTTTCCTGCTTCTGGGATTAACCACCACGACCTGCCTCCTCCTCCTCCTATTTTTTCTTTTCTTTCTTTCTTCTTTCTTTCTTTCTTTCTTTTCTTTCTTTCTTTCTTTCTCTCTCTCTCTCTCTCTCTCTCTCTCTTTCTTTTTTTCTTTCTTTCTTTTCAGACAGGATATTCCAGTTGTATGGAACTTTTCAAGTAGGCTAGGTTGCCTAGCTAATGAGCTCCAACAGTCTTTCCATCTCTACCTCCCAGTGCTGAAATTGCAAGTGTGTACATGCATATTATGTGGATTATTGGAATTAGCTTCAGATTTATAATTTTACAAGGCAAGTGCTTTACCAACTGTGCTGTTTCCCCATCCCTGTAGACAATCAGCTGTGTTTTAAATCCTAAATTCTCATAGTTTTTCTTGGTGATGTGATTTAGAGCAATACTGAGTGTTTTTTTTTAACTTTATGACATGCAGAATATGAAGAGATTTGCATGGTATCTGTAGTATCTTATGGGTAGGAGTCTCTGCACACAGTTGCCCCAGAGAATTCACCTGCCCCAGGCCCCGTTTAGCTACCCTGAGTGCTGTGTATTAATATTAGTTACATATGCTATAACATACCAGTTGAGTATGTTTTCTTTAATTGTTTCTTTATGCAAGGCAATAAATGTGATTAAAACCTTGGTTCTATGTAGTTTGTTCAATAGTGTGATGCAAGGGCTATCTTTGCTGAAATATTTCCTGTCTTGCTCAGATCAAAGGAAGAACTATACATGTGGACCATGTGTCAAACGACTGGACTCTGCAGGAATCAGAAGATGTGGATGATGTGACTAGAGAGCTCCAGGAGAAGGACTGTGGGGCTAATGTATATCCATGAGGTTCTCCTGAGGTCTCTGAAGGTGAAGATGTCAAACCCACAAAAAAGCACAAAAAAAAAGTTGTGTTGTTTTTAAACAAAATCCCAACCATTCTATTTTACCAATAAAGACTTGGGGGCCAGATGCTGGGATGAAAGCCTCCTAACTCAGAGTGCCAAAAAAAAGCACTGAACTGACCTTCTTCCTTAGCTAACCTCCCAAAAGAGGAAAGCTCCTTTCCCAACTGTCTCAAAACCATCTCAAACCTGCCCCCGGCCCCACAAAGTGAATGTTCCTCCCTTCTACCTCCTGTGTGTCTCCCTATCCATCCAACTGACTTCCCCTCAATCTCTGTGTTTTTCCTATGTTCATTTCCTGTTAACTGGTTGCTTTTTCCACCTTTTAACCTAGGGTTAATTTTCTTTAAACCTGTTTATAATACTCAAGCAGAAAGCTCTTAGCAGTTGTCATCTCCATTGTCTATCTACTCTGATTAGCAGTTCCTTCTTAGCTTTCTTCTTTAAAAAAAATAAGTTTTAAGATTGAAAATACAATTACATAATTTCTACTACTACTCTTTCCATTACCTCCCATGCCCGCTCAAATTCATAACCCTTTATTATTGTGATATATAAATATGTGAATGAATATATAAATGCAACCTGATCCTGATGAGTCTGTTTACTGTATGTATATATTTTAGGGCTGACCACTTGGTTTGGATAAATATTTAAAGAACTCTTCCTTGGGGAAGATTAATTCTCTCTCTCATCAGTCTTTAATTGCCTGTAGCTCCTCTAGACTTGGGGCCTTTGAGATTTCCCCCATCTACACTGGCAAGTCAACTGATATCATTATTCAGGTCTCATTTTAACAGCAATATTGTTGAGATTTCATGAATGTCACTTCCCTGACATATCTAGAAGACAGACTTCCAGCAGACTTCCTAGTCCTCTGGCTCTTGTAATTTTTCCACCCCTTCTGTGATGCTCCCTGAGCCTTAGGTGTAGGGATGTGTTGTAGATTTATTAATTAGGACTGGGCACTCCATTGTCAATTGTTCCTTGCATTTTGGTCAGTTTACTTTCTGTAATCGTCTCATGTGGAAAGAAGCTTCTTTGATGAGGGGTGAGAGTTACGCTCATTGGTGAGTATAAAGTTTTTAGAATGCAGTTAAGAATTACACTGGTTTAGGAAAGTGGTAGTAGAAGACTATCTAAAATCCATGATCTCTCAGCCATGAATGGCTGACTAGGTTTATAGTACCAGGCATGATTTTCCTCCTTTTGAATGAACCTAAGTCTGATTAGACGCTGTTTGTTACCACCAAGATATAAGTGCACTATTTCACATTTAGGGATTAACTTGTTATACTGATCATTGTTGTGAATTGTAAGTGTTACAGCTGCATAGGATTATTGATTGCTTCCTCTCTTGGCAGCTTGCTAATACCTTTTGGTATAATTAAATCTAGTTCCCAGGGAGGAGGCTTTCAGGTCAGTCTAGCTCAAATCCTCTGGACTTCTGTGTCCAAAGTGGGTGGTACCTTCAGCTATAGACTGACTTTCAGTTTCAGGGAGGCAACCAAAGGCAACAGCAATAACCTGTATTGTTTGGGGACTCTCTTAGACTCCTATGACCAACTGGAACAGAGATTTCTCATGCCTGATACTGGTATTTTATTAGTCTAGATGTACTGGATAGTTTTGTGTATCAACTTGATACAAGCTAGAGTCATCAGAGAAGAAGGAGCCTCAATTGAGGAAATGTCTCCATAAGATTCAGCTAAAAGACATTTTCTCAATTTGTGATCAGTGGGGGAGGACGTAGCTCATGGTTGGTGGTGCCATCCCTGAGCTGGTGGTCCTGGGTTCTGTAAGAAAACAGGCTTTGTGTCAGCTCCTTCCTTAAGGTTTCTGCCCTGCTTGAATTCCTGTCCAGACTTCCTCCAGTGATGGAGTATGATCTAGAAGTGTAAGCTGAATAAACCCTTTCTTCCCCAACTTGCTCTTTGGTACTGTTGTTTTATCACGGCAATAGAAACCCTTAGACACCAGGACTCTTCTTTTTAAATGTTTTTTTTTTCTTTTATTGAAAATAGACTTTTTTTTCTCACAAAGTATATCCTGATTATGGTCCCTGTTCCCTCTACTCCTCCTAATTCCTAGCCATATCCGCTCCCATCTGAATCTACTACCTTTACTGTTTCTCTGTATAAAATAAACAGACATTTAAAGGATAATAATAAAATAAAAGATAATTAAAAATTACATGTTGGAAATGGACAAAACAAATAGAAGAAAAAGAGTTTAAGAGAAGGCACAAGAAACAGACACATTCATTTTTGCACTCAGAAATCTCACAAGAAATGCTAAACTGGAAACAATAATATACACACAAAAGACCTGGTACAGACCTGTGCAGGTCCTGTGCATGCTGCCTTACTCAGTCTCTGTGAGCTCATATGAACTTCGATCATGATGATTTAGAGGACCTTGTTTTCTTGTATCATCTATTCCCTCTGGCTCTTACAGTATTTCTTCCTTCTCTTCCACAGGATTCACCGAGTCCTGAGAGTGTTGTGGGGTATCCACCCGAGAAGACTGTCAGACATGTGTTTAAGCCAATAGAAAGTCTTTATTAGCTAGCCAGCAACTACACTGGGTATTCAGGATCCCAATGTAGCACTGAATCTTCCTCAGGGTGAGCTTTTAAGTACAAAAACCATATTCTAGATTGAAATAATTCAGTTAGCAAGAACAGTTAGCCAGAAGAGGAACTACAGAATCCACAAACAAAGGTCAGGATATTTAGTGTCTTTCCTAGGACTATGGACTTTGATAGATCAAGTCTTTGCTTTTATTTTTTTATTTTTTTAATATTAGTTACAGTTTATTAACTTTGTATCCCAGCTGTATTCTACTCTCTCAATCCTTCCCAATCCCACCCTCCCTCCCTCATCTTCTCCCTGCCCCTTTTTAAATCCACTGGACCTCCTCCCCTTTCATCTGAACCTAGCTTATCAGGTATCTTTAGGACTGGCTGCAAAGTCCTCTTCTGTGGCCTAGCAGGGATGCTCCTGCTTTTATTTTGGTAGGTGGTGCTGTCTACATGCTGAGTTTTATGGCCTGAATTGTGCTTCAGGAATGCAATCAGTTATCCTAAGATCTGGAGCCCTGTTACTTTCCCCACTGGTCTTAGTAAATGAGTCAGATTGTAAACTTATCCCACTCTAAAGAGGAGTAGTTGGCCCTCAGGACCATTAATTGTTTTGAATTGATACATAATTGGCCATATAGTTTCAGATGGCCCCCACTGTTAATCCAATCAGAATGAGAATTAAAGACCTAAACAGTGCTGAGAGAAGAGCAGTTTGCCAGAGGGACCAAGAAAACAGACTGGTATCAATTATTTGATTTCTCTTTGACTCTAACTTTTTGAGGTTTTCCCCAACCATGGCAAGATTTTCTCTAATTACTCCTAATCAATTAGCATAATAACAACAGGTTTCTCCCAAAGCCATGCACAATATCCTTTATCTCATGAGAATTAAGTCTAAGTCTCTCCAATTTTGTAGTACCACTTCTGCAAAGGAATTTGTTGTTTTAATTCAGAAATGAAATTTTAATACCCCTAGGTCCTGATTAATCTGTCTACCTAGTTTGGGAAACGGCAGAAGAGGCACATTTTTAAAAATTTATTTATTTATTTACTTAACATCCTGATTGTAGCCCCCTCCCATCAGTTCCTCCTGGACCTACACTTTCACTTTCTTCCCTTTTTCCTCATTCCCATCCCTTCAGAAAGGGGAAGCCTCCCCTACCATCAACCCAACCGGGTACATCAAGTCACATCAGGGCTAAGCACATCCTAGTAGAGGTCATTTAGTCAAACCACAACTAGTACATGCCCACCAAGTAGTGTCAGAGGCTCGGTAATACTGCCGTTGTCCAGGTGAGTTAACCCATAAGGTAGAACAGCAGGCATCAGAACAAGAGGAAGTGCCTAGGTGGTTCACACCTGTAATCCAAGCACTCTGGGAGGCAGAGGCAGGCAAATATCTGTGAGCTCAAGGCCAGCCTGGTCTACAAATTGTGCCCAGGAGAGCCAAGGCTACATAGAGAAACCCTGTCTCAAAAAACAAACAAACAAAAATGACAAAAAAAAAAAGTAGAAAGGATTTTGGCTATTAGTCAAGTTCCAGCCCTCTTAATGTCCTCTGATGTCAACCTGGGCTGCCCCAGTCACAGTCACTGGGCTGACAGTCTGGTCAATTCATATCCGTATGTATACCCACTAGCAGTCTAAGCATAACCAGCAATCATTGCTGATTCTGTCTGGGAATGATTAACCCCATTCCCAGGGTCCCTTCCTGTGGCTTAGAGTCTGATTCCACAGGTTTGCCTGTTTTCCAAAGGCCATCTTTAGATTTTTATATTTGTAATTTTATGGCTGTTGGATTACATTTTTCTATTGTGCATTTCTTGGGGAGTTGTCTTTCTTTCTGTATACTCATCCATGTGTTTTCAGGAAGCTTCTATTTTATAACACCAATTTTTGCAGTGGAAACTCCTTTGTTCCTGGCAACTAGGGGCATGCATAGAATTTTAAATTCTGCATTCCTATCTCAAAATGAGAACTTCCATATCTTTCCTTTCTCCAGTACAACCAGATGCTCCTGGTCTATAACCACATTAGCTATCATCTCCCCTATATCTGTCTATTCTGAGTTCCGAGGTCCACTCGTAAGGGCAGTGGGAGTTGGATTATAATCCTATATTTATACCAAACATAAGACTCAGAAAGATGTAGAAGGGCAGAGAGTGGAAAGGCCTGGGACTCAGTGAAACCTTAGTATTAATTGATCTATTTAAGAACCATTTGGCTGTGTCTGTGGCTTGTGTTCTTTTGACCTTGTTGTGGTGGATCCATGATGTAATGTCAGCTACCCTTATAGCTATAGGAATGCAGAGACTCGCTGTTTAGCATCCATTCTAATTTGGTTTCAGTGCACTTTTGCTACCTATTCAACCAAGACAATATCACTGGACTCAAAGAAGGGGAAACACTTATGCTTGGAAGTCAGTTGGGTCTTTTGTATATTCCAAGGAATAGCCTTTTTTTTTTTTTTTAAGCAAGCATAGTTTTTTTTTTTCTTTTATTCAATTTAACTTTAGGTCAGTTCCAAAAATGTATGTGCCCCTCACTCCAAGGCCAGCCATCGTGGGGAAGAGTGTTAACACTGGAAAAGGAGCTAAAAAGAAAGCAGTGTAAATGCACTGTTGAGCTGACTTTTGCACTTTTTTAATAATTACACTTTATTCACTTTGTATCCCCCCATAAGCCCCTCCTTCCTCCCCTCCCGATCCCACACTCCCTTCCCCTTCTTCACGCATGCCCCTCCCCAAGTCCACTGTTAGAGGAGGTCCTCCTCTCCTTCC